CCTGCCTGGGAAGCAACAGGGTGGTGGGGTGCAGGTAGGGAGTGAAAAGCACATTCAGGGGGTCCTACAGAGCATTTTCCTCCTTAAGAAAGAGGCATGCACGACGCCAGAGGTCCTGGAGGTGAGCGAGAGCTCGGCTGCTGCCCTGGGGAGCACCACTGCCCAGAAGGACTATTGCTCCCCGGGGTGCTGTGCTGAGCCGGAGCCGGAGGGGAACCCCCGGCCCTGCCTGGCCACCAACGGCATCCCCTGTGAGCATCCCGGCGAGCCACAGATCCAGGAGAAGCTGAAGCAGCTGCAGCTGGGCAGGGGTCCGGCCCCCAAGGCTGGCACGGCACCCACAGACTCCTCCTGCCTGCTGACACCACCCACCACCCCCCTGAACTTCGACTCTGGGAGCCCAGAGTCCCCACAGGGCACGAGCAAGGGGCTGCAGGACCCCCGGAGGAACGGGATGACCGGCACCAAGGGCAGCACCCCCGAAGGTACCGAACGCTGGCGCTGCCCAGGGGTGGTGAGGATGGGTGTGGGCGGTGCCAGAGCCGTAAGCCGGTCTCTCCGCTGCCAGGATGTTCGCCGACCCCCTACGACTACCCCACGCCGGAGTCTTCCAGCCGCAGCTCTGCCACCGACGACTTCTGCTACGTCTTCGTGGTGGAGCTGGAGAGGGGACCCAGCGGGCTGGGCATGGGGCTGATCGACGGCGTGGTGAGTCCTTGGCAACTGCGGGACAGGGCTGATGCCCCTCACACAGCTGGAGTGGGACACGTGGAATGTGGTTTATACTCCCAGAAAAGCCAGCAAAGAGACTAATGGCTTCCCACGGGGGCTAGGCTGCTTCTCCTGGGGAAAACGAAGCACCGAGGGATCTCTCAGAGGATCTCTCTACTCCTACATCTCTGAGCTGTGCATGCAAAGTCCATAGCAGCTGTCCTGCAGCTGGAGAGCAAACAGGCTCAGCTCTTTTGTGGAAGGAAAATGACTCAGCTGAGGTCTTTCCTCCACCCTTCAGCGGTGGCAAGGGAAGTGGAGGGGAGCAGGGAGGCTCATGGGTGCCAGAACAGCTCTGGCGTTGCATAAGGCAGCGTTGGAATCTGCCTTAGTGGGGTGGGTCATCTTTCTAAATGGCCTTTCAGGGCAGTGCTGTTAGTCAGTAGGAAACAGAGCATCACCGAGCCCTGGGACAGCTGTGAGCACCGGGCTCCCATCCCAACACGGCCACAGGTTAACGATGCTTTACTCTTAATTAAATTGAACAAGAACAGATTGCCCTCACCTCTCCTTTCTGTGTATAAATTGATATAAAACTGAAGGATCGTGTTTCCTTCCTGTTAGCACCATCCCCAGCACCCACCCATCACATTCCCAGAGTTTCCAGGGTCCTACCTGGCATCAGGCACCCACTTGGCTGTGAGCCCTGGGGGAGAGTCACCTTGCCTGGGGAGCTCAGCCCTTTGGGACCACAAACCTTTCGTGTCCCTTTGTTGCTCACTGCCTCTCCCTGCCAACAGCACACCCCCCTGTGCTCCCCGGGGATCTACATCCGCACCCTGATCGAGGACAGCCCCGCGGCCGCCGACGGCCGGCTCTCCCTCGGGGACCGCATCCTGGCTGTCAACGGCACCAGCCTCATCGGGGCAGACTATCAGAGGTGAGTCACACCTTGCCAAAGGGTCTGGGATGGAATCAGCATTGCTCAGGTCCAGGTTTCCAGCTGTTTTGCTCAAAGAGCCCCTGGTGCTGCGGTCCTGGCCCACAAACCAGAGGATGCTGCAGTACGAGCAAGCTGCAGAGAGAGGAGTGGCCTGTGCAGGACACCGGGAAGAGGGGAAGGCAGCTGTTTGGGGGGTTTGGAAGAGGGCATGGGGCAACAACTGGGGAGTATACTTGGGAGAAAAATGAGAGCTCCAGAGGTGGGTCTCAGCAGTGTAGAACTGCTCCAGCCCCATCCCACCCCAGGCTTCCGCTTGAAGGTGGTGGGATGGGGCAGCTCAGAGGCAGAGCCCAGGTGGCCACGGGGCAGCACAGCTTTGGGTTTGTTTGCCGTTGTCATGGCAGCACTAACACGGAGGTCAGGCCTTCCAGAAAGCTACAGACAGAAGAGCAACAGACTGCTCGTAACCCTGAGCTGGCACAGGGCAGAGGGGGCAGGTGCTTGGCAAAGGGGGGGTGTTCTGTGAATGTCCTGGGGGGTTGCCAGCCTGTGGGAACCAGAATTCACCTCTCTCCCTGTTGCTGCTCTCTGCAGTGCTGTGGAGCTCATCCGCTCCGGAGGGAAGAAGCTGCGGTTTCTGGTTGCCAAGTCGGACATGGAAATAGCCAAAAAAATCAGTTCCAGCTCCTCTGTCTCCTAGTCCTTGTGGTATCAGGATCCTTCTGCAGCAGCCTGCGGGTGCAGCTCTGGTTAAGGCTCACCCTGGGGGAGCCTGGAGTGAGGGAAAGCAAAAGGGAGGACCAGGACTCCACAACTGCCCTTGATTTGCTTTTGGACACTTTGCCCCTGTGCTGCAGCAGATGAAAGGACATGCAAGGATGGTGCATGCTTCTCCCACTGCACTGGCTGGAAGCATCATTCCTGATCCATTGCCCAGCCTCACCTTATACCTGGTGTTGTCCTTCTCAGAAGCTTTCCTGGTCCTTTGTCCCCTCTGGCAGGGGGCAGGAAGAGGATCCTCCCCCCCTGGGGACTGTAGGCAGGCTCCTCTGTTCCTCTAGGCTGGAGCCCTGTGTGGTATTTCATGCTGGCAGGCAGAAGACTTGAAACACCTTTGGGTTTTGAAGATGAATGTGTGGGGCAGGCCTGGGCTCCACTGTGGCAGTGGCCACCTGAGGTGCTGGCACATCAGGCTGGAAAAGTGTGCCTAGCTCTGGGGGTGGTGAAGGCAGCACAAACACCCAGGAGCAGGATTCCAGGCAGGATGAATTGCCAGGAGTTAAGTTCCCTGGTGCCATACTCAGGTGCCTTTCTGCTGCTGGGCTACCAGCCCTACTTCGGGATGGGAAGCAGCTACAGCAAAGGGCTGATACCACCAGCAGTTCCTGTGAGTCCCAGGGAGAGCCCCCTGAAGAAAAGGACTCCCTTGCCCTTGTTCTGCAGCAGATTTACTGCCCGGCTCCAGCACCACAATCTTGGCAGAAGGCCCCTAGGACTGATCCAGCAGCATGGGGCATCCACAGCAGAGTTTTTCCTCACAGAGGGTTTGTGCCACCAGGAACTCAAGAGAACCTGGCAGCACACAGGGCCAGACCCCAGGTGTGGCTGACACCAGCCCAGGCAGACAAATGACAGCTTGGCACTGCGCCTGGTCCTCTCCCTCCAGCTTTGCCAGGCCATTGCAAGGCCACCCCGTTTCCTGCCCAGCTTGGAGCATCTCACCAGTGCTGCTGATCACCAGTGCTGATGCTGCCGAGGACGGGCAGCAGAGGTTCCCTTTGGAAGGACAGTCTCGAGTGTCCCAGGAACTGCTCTGCTACCTGCTGCCGGCCACGGTGTCAGCAGAGCCGAGGAACCAGCTCCACCGTGCGGCTGTCCAGGACCTGGCACACCCGGCCTCCTGCCTGCCGAGCCCTCCCTCTGCTTTTAGCAACATTAACGGGATAAACCCGACCTGATTTCCACATATAGATGGATACTGAAACCTAGTTTAGCCGAACTCTATTAATAACAGCCTGCAGCAAAGCCCTCCATCACACCCTGCATGGTCTAGGCTCTGGCAGCAAATCAGATACTCACATGGCATCTCACAACAATGCCACTCGAGGACTGTAATGCTAAAAAAGGGTTGGCCTTAATGACACCTCACTGCTGTAGTTTTGGTTCCTGTGCTTAAGCCTCGCACGTCGCGGGAGGAGAGAGATGTCAAAACAATCCATGCAAGGGAAACACTCCACTACTGGATTTCAACACAGCCTGGCCTGTCTTTCCTAGGCAAGATGGACCAAGCACCTTCACCAAGACATTAGTGCCTTGCTTCTCTGCTAGGCCACGCTCACACCCCCTGGGTGGGGTGCTGCCCCAGCGGGGACTGGGGGCAGTGCATCCCTCCTGCTGCTGACTCAGCTGTACCAGGCAGGCGAGCAAAGGCTCAGGGCCCCACGGGGCTCCTGGTGATTCACTCCACTTTGAATCAAGTAGGTATGTTGGCCTGTCATCCCCCACAGAACTTGAAATGGGCCGCCTAGGGCCCTTGGAAAAACTGCATGCACTCCTTACTCCCCTCTGCCTGGAAGCCAGGGCTTGGGGGAGGCTTGGTTTGCACTACAGTGCTGGGGCTGCATCCTGGCAAGTTCCAGCAGTACCAGCTCAACCCTCTGCTCTCAACTGAGCACTCCTGGAGCTGGAAAACAGCCCCAGAGCTGTATGTTGCTCACAGTGCAGTCAGGTATTGAAACAGACTGTAAATACACCCTGCTATTTACTAGTGTGCATGAGGGCTGGCTCCTCCTGGGAGGAGCCTTGGGATGGATTTACTTCCCTGTTTGTTAATACTGTACAGCTCAAACGTGTATAAACCTCTGGTGCAGATACAGAACACAGCATGGCGCCTGTCTGACATAGGGCTGGTGTATGTTAAGAAATGCTCTGTGTCAACAATAAACTGGATCAATAAATCTCTCTAAGCTCTGCTCTGGCAGCTGTCTCTTGGATCTCAGCGTGTTCACTCTGATGGTAAGACAGAAGAGTGGTGAGGGCTCACAGCAGATTAACAGTCAGTTCTGCTTCCTCCACCTCACACAGGCTCGGCTGATCTGCTGCAAGAAGAGGCAATAAAAGTGCAGAGCCAGGTGTAGTGAGAACAAAGGGGAGGGAAACAAGGCAGAGGAAGGGAGGGAAGATGTACATCTCCAAAGGGGCATGGTATGCTGGCAGGGTGTTAAGGCATTCATTCACTCTCCTGCCACATTCACACAAACCCACTGATATTTTCAATGCATACAGGCCAGGGAGGGATAAGACAAGCTTAGGAGATAAAAAAGGAACAGACGCTGGGACACAGAAATACAAAGAACCTCAGAGCAGAAGAGCAGCCTCAGCTCTACTTATTCCTGTTTTCTGTTTCATTTGCAAACATTTGTTCCTCATTTCCAGTTAAGATCAGCCTTGAGTATCAGCAGTGTCCAGTGAGTTACTCCACAAATCTCCTGCCCTCACACTGGCGTGCAGCCAGGAGCTGGCTCCAGGAGATGGGTGACCATCCTCAGGGCCAAAGGAAGGGAGTCATTCACCTCTCTCTGAAGCCGTGTGCTGGCCGCATCCATGGGGGGGTTGAACACAAACTGAGCCACGCTGGGCATCTTCAGCAGGTTCATGAGCTCAGTTGCCCGAATAAGGATCTCCTCAAGGTCCTCCTCGCAGTAAACAGAGGTGACAGCAGGGCTCTGCACAAATGTCCTCATCTTGGACAGGAACATGGACACTCTGCAGGAGAGGAGGATGCAGACATCAGCTGGCAGGACCTTTACACCCAGCCAGCTCACTACTTAAGCCTGTGAACGCCCACAGACTAGTGCAATTGAACATCAGGTGACAGAGCATTAGTCAGCAGATGAATCCCACTTCCCCAAACTGTGCCCCTCCACAGCTTATCTTCTCTGTCCTGTTTCAGTATCAGGTTCCATCAGTCGACAAATTTGGTCATTCATCATTAGCAAACCCATGTTTGGACTCATGAGATCTGCATGTTTCAACCCTTTGCCAATCCCCACCATCCGTCCTCACCTGGGGATCAAGTCCTGGCTGCGGGCTGCCAGCTTGGTCAAGGTGGCCATGAGGACACTGATGGCACGGGGGGCACAGCTGGGGGTGCTGGCCAGTGGCCGGAGCTGGGTGATCTCAAACAGCACGGCCTCCAGGGTCTCAAAGAACCGTGTGATCTGCTCCACAGTGCAGCGCTTGTCATAGGACACTGACAGGTACTCCCCGACAGCCCAGACCTGGGGCAAAGGCAGATGTGCTCAGGGCAAGCACAAGGAGAGGGAATCAAGTAATTTTTAGGGAATAGAAAATCAGGTTCGCTAATGCTCTAGGAGAGGAAAGGGAAGGTGACCGCCAGATTGCACCACAGTTGGAGCAGCCTGTGGCAGACGCAGACAGGCCCCGCTCACCACGTGGGTGAAGATGGGCTCCTTGCTCTGGATGTTGCTGACTGCTCCTGAGAACTCCAGAATCTCTGTGGACAGTTCCACGACGAGCGCAGGGTGTAGCTTGCAGAGCATGGCCAGCTGTGAGCTCAGCACCCTGGAGCAGAGAGAAGGGCAGAGCTCAGACCACGGGCAAGGTGGTCATCACCCATCCGAGGAGGGGCTGGCAGCACCCAGCCACTGGCACAGTGCTGTACCCTCAGGGTGTTCCTATTTTTCACCCTCCAAAGGTGTGTCACAGCAAGGACTGGGCCACAACTGAAAAGGCTCCTGGGCTGCTCTGGGATGCCAGGCTGCAGCCAGTGGAAGGGCTGGGAGCTTGGCTGGGCCTTCTGTCCCCTCTCACCTGTACACGTCATCTTTGAACGTTGGGATCTCGTAGAGCTGGTCGCTCCTCTGCAGCAGCAGCACCACCAGCTGGTTTATCAGAGACCCATCTGCAGACTGAAAAACAGCCCTTGTTTCAGCAAGGGCTGAAACAAGTGGCTTTCAGCAACCAAACCCCAAACTAACCAGCCACATCAGACAGCTGGCAGAGAAACTGCCTGATCTTGCAGGGGGGTAGCAGTGCAGAAAGCAGCTATCAGGCACTCTGCTCTCAGCCCTCTCCTTTACAGCTGGCTGAGAGCACAGAGTGAACCTGACACTGCATCATGGAGCTTTTCTGCTTCTCTGCATGAAGTGGCCAGCTCAGTGCTGGTTCATGCCAGTATTAAACCCACCCTCCCCTAGTGCACCCCTCTCTTGAAGCTGCAGCGTCTTAACTATTTTGCTTCTTCAACTGCTTTTCACACAACAAGAGACCCCTGTGGCACAAGTGGGAGCCAACCTCCCCCAAAAGGACATACCTCTGCCACCACCCTGAAAAAGAGCTCCAATAGGACAGGGACAGTCTCTGCACACTGCACCACCCTTGGGTTGCCAGCCAGGGATCCCAGTAGCTGCCGAAGTGGAATCAGACTGTGGGCAAGAGAAGAGTTACTGCTGAAGGCTTGTTCCCAGCTACTCTCCTGACTGCCCTTCCCTATCCCCCACATGGCCTCTGAGTGCCGGCAAAGCTGACACAGGGAAATCCACCTCGCCCCAGCCCCAGAGTGACTGTGCCTTTCCCAGTAATCCCAGTGCTGCCTCCCAGAGCTGAATGGCTGAACCACACCCTGGTGGCAGGCTCCCACCTCTCTGGGGTGTCCTCAGGAGCAGATTTGGTGCGGAGAAGATATTGGAATGTGCTCTTGTAGAGGGGATGACGAAAGGCTTCCAGGCAGGTGGCTGGTTTCACAGCTGGGTCACTTGTGGCCTTCTCAGAGGTAGGAAGAGCAGCTGCCCTGGCAGGAAACACATAGAGAACATGATGCATTATGAGAACAGTCCAGGACACAGCTGGAATCATGAACACTGAACACTGAACCAGTGACAGCAAGTTGGTTAGTCCAGGCCCTCCGGAAGACAATCAGTATGACAGAAAATTATGAGCTCAGACCCTCCCCATGCTCAGGCAACAGTTCCAGACTTGCTTCTATATCACTCCTGGGAAAGGGCAAAACAGCACTCTGCACCCTCAGTCACCCAAGCCCACCAACATCTGCCTCTTGGATGTCTCTCTTTTCTAAGCACTCCAGACAGAACTGTTGATGTTGGGAGGACAAGGAAGAGCAGAGGTACAGCCAGTTCCAGTCCTATTTCATCTTCCTGGAGACTCACAGTTCCTAATGACCTCAGGAAGAAACGTCTGTATGCCTTCAGGGGAACAAAGCCAGAAAAGGGGGGTAAGAGCAGGGAGGGAAGATCAGGTAGCCCCCACCTCTGTGCTGAGGTGCTGGCTCATGGCAGACCCAGCATGTGGCAACTATTTGGAGCTGGACAGGGAGAGGGGAATAACAACAGCTCCCTGAGCCCCAGAGACAGTCCAGCTTTGTCTTAACCTGACTGTAGATCTGTGACAGCAGCAGCCAGAGGAAAGCTGGGGCTCAGAGAAGAGTGTACTGGGCTGTGGTCAATGTCAAGACACTGATGAGCAAGTGAGAGGAAGGGAAGGTGCATTACCTGAGCTGGATGTCCAGAGCTGCTGTCAGACAGGGCAGGTCAAGCAGCAAATGGAAGATCTCAATGGCTGTGCCTGCATCCAGCAGAAATGGGAGAAGGTCCACAAACTCTGAGATAAGAGGTGGGCTGTTCCATGCCAGGAACTGCAAGGAACAAGCAAAAACTGCTGCACTATCCCAGCTACCCCACAACACACCCAGACAATTCCATGCTGTGACAGAAGGGATGGGGAATGGAAAACCACTTCTGAAAAGCAAAACCAGAGAAATCTGAGGGTTTGGTCAAAACCCAGGAGGCTGCTGGAAGCTCAGCACAGGCCTCTGGCAGCTGCTTCAGTGGCTGGTAAGCTGCAACTTACTAAACTTTTCCAGGAACAAAGTGCTGTGTTCTGTGTTCACTGTGCTTCCCAACCCACTGGCAGTCCTGTTAACACAGACTCTCCCCTCCTGGCAGTGCTAAACACACCCAGAACCCTCTTCCCTCTTTAAAACTCTATAACAGTCCTTCTTGCCTGTGCTCTCCCTGGCACTGCCATGGAGGCACTTGGAGGGCTCTGGGGTGCAAACAGGAAGTTCTGGGGCACAGAAAGGAATGTGAAGCAGGCTCTCCCCTCTGCTGCTCCAGCAAGCTGTACCTTGAAGAGATTTGGGAAGCTCTGCCTGAATATGCTGGAGGTGTCCGTGAAGAGCTGGCTGTTGTCTTTGCAGAACTGGACAAATTCGAAGGCCAGTGATGGGTTGTGGAAGAGCTGGGCCGGGATATCAGTGAACAAGTGTTTGTAGATTGCATCCGAATCCACAGCTGCCAGTTTGCCTGGGAGGACACAGCACACTGCTGAGCACAGCCCACCCAGCAGCCCTGCCAACACTGGCTCCAGGGGCTAAGCTAGATCTGGGTTACGTTTTTCTAAAGAGCATGGGACCCCTCAGCTCCTGGGTCTCCTGGAGTGGGATCATCCATCCCAGAGTACAGCCAAGGTGGAATTACCAATTCTGGGAGCCAGCAAACTATCAGGACAAAAGGCTGTGCTGGAGTATGCAAGACTAGATTGTGGATGAGGGAGTGGGAGCTGATGACTTACTGTGGTTCAGGAAGAACTGGGCAATGGGCAGTAGTGCCCTGGCATAAGTGGCATCCCCACAAATCCTGCCATGCAGGATTTTCAGGAAGGAGACAGCGCGGTACATGTAGGAAGAGTCCTGCTTGCAGATGATGTCCATGATCGTCACTGCCTCAATGAGACACTGCAGGAGAGCAGAGAGTCAGACTGGAGTGGGGGAATCCACAACTCCCAGAGTTTCAGCCCCACCTCTGTGTACTTACAGCTCTCTGCAGGTCTCCGTCATCTTTCTTCAGGGGTCCTGCCAGAGAAAGGAGTCCAAGTTACACTTTGAGCCCAAACAGGAACATTGGACTGGCAGTTTGAGCACTGACTCCAATTTCAGGACAGGCAGGAAGACATCCTGATCCCAATTCCAGGCTAATGACAAACAAGATTCACAGCCTCACCTGCAAATCAAGGGGAGGAGGCAGAACATGGTCTTTGCCTCCAAATCCCTCCCAACACCCCAGCTCAGGGCTGGTCAATGACTTGCACCAGCAGCTGCAGCAGGTCCCACCCCTGGAGCCTGACTGTGGACTGCAGGGAGTGAGATCCCAGCCCAAACATGCAGTGAGCCAGAAATGTTTTCAAGAACACTGCCAGGGGAGCTCCAGGGAGGGTTCATGGCAAGACTCACGCCGGGTGCTCTGCTCAATCAGCCGCTGGCAGTACTCGAAGGCTTTTTCCCGCAGATGCTCCTTCGGGGGAAGCAGGCGACTAGAGGTGGATGTAGTTGAGACCATGGATGTAACAGACCTGTCCATTCCTGGTTTGTCATTTACAGAATAAAGAATACAAGTGTCAGCTCATGCCATGGGTGATGTAACCCACGCAGTGGCCCAGCAACAGCAAAGGAGCTGAATGTCCCCAGTGCCGTGTGAAAAACAGGAGGGCAGGGGAGAAGGGAATGTTACAAGAACACTAAGGAGATGCTGCCTCCCACCACCCAGCCCTTCTTTCTTAGGGACCCATGGGGCTTTGTCTGAAAGCAGGGGACTCACTGAATGAGTAACTCCACGAGTAAGGCTCACTAAGGATCAGTCAGCAGGCTTTGTGATACTCTTCCCAAAAGCTTCCCTGCTCCTAGTCCAAGATCTCTAAACTCTTGCTCATATTCCTGCCACTGAGAATCACAGAATGGTTTGGGTTGGAATGGACCTTAAAGATCATCATCTAGTTCCAACCCCTTGCCAGGGACACCTTCCAGCATACCAGGTTCCTTCAAGCCCCATCCAACCTGTCCTTGGACACTTCCAGGGACGGGGCAGCCACAGCTTCTCAGGGCAACCTGTGCCAGGGCCTCCCCACCCTCACGGGGAAGAATTTCTTCCTAATATCTAATCTAACCTACTCTCACTTTGAAACAGAGGAAGTTGCTGGTTGCTGGTACAGCCACCTCGTATGACATCTCAGAGCACACACCCCTCTTTGGGGCTGCAACTCACCCTGGCCTTCAGACCTTCAGTCCATACCTGGATTAGGGGCTTTCCCCTCCTGGCCCCCATAGAACAGCAGCCAGTTTCTCAGCATGGAGAAGGCCTGCACGTTGAGCCACTGGTCCTGTGTGTAGTGCTGGCCCACTGAGAGCACTGTGAAGAAGTCTGTGGCAATGGCACCATCCACCTCTGTGACGGGAGCAGGCTGAGAGAAAAGATGCAGCAGGTCAGACTCTGAGGGAAAGGCTGAGTGGGAAGGCAGGGAAAACTCGACTGAGCCCATGGAGACAAGTAGCCCTCATTTAGGGTCCTGCAAGAGGGCAGATATCAGACAGAGAAAAGCCAACTGTCCTGGGTTCTTCTGCCCAGCTGAAACACTCCAAACTTTCTCTGACACTGGCCTCATTTGCAATTACCTTTTACTCTGAGGTACATGGGCACTAAGACTCTTCCCTTAAAACTACTTCAAGGATTTAAGTTGGATATTAGGAAGAAATTTTTTACAGAGCAAGTAATCAGACATTGGAATGGGCTGTCCAGGGAGGTGGTGGATTCACCATCCCTGGAGGTTTCTAAGATGAGACTGGATGTGGCACTTAGTGCCATGGTCTGGGAACCACAGCAGCGTTGGATCAAGGGTTGGACTTTATGATCCCAGAGGTCTTTTCCAACAGTGTTGATTCTATGACTCTATGATTAAAGCTCTGGTTCTACAGGAGAACTTTTAAATCCTGGAGCTATAAATCCCCCTAGTTTGCTTTCCTGTGTCTTGACCACTTACTCCACAAAAGATGCTTAAGAACAGCAGCACTTCCAGGCTACCATTTTCCAAAGGAAGATGATTCTGGAAACCTGACTAACAAACGCCCCTGTGAGGTGACCACAGCAACTCAGCACTCACCTGTTTGGTTCTGGGACTGGAGAAGAAACCTCCTGAGGGCTGAACAATTCCTTGCTGAGTACTCGCATACCTCAGCCAGTCAGCCAGCTTCCTACTGACAGCATCAGTCTGCTCTGTGCAAGGAAAGTCACAGGGTCACTGCCAGACTGGGCAGAGAAGCAGCCTCTGCACCATACCCCTGTTAACCCTATTTTTCTCCAGCCTAGATCACTGTCTTTCTGATCCAGCATTCTGTAAAGGAACTGGCATGCCAGGGTTGGATGCCCTGTACTCCTCATCCTACCTCTGAGTCAGGGAGTGAGTGCTGGAACCAAGGACTTCTGCTACCACATCAATCAAGAGGTACTTGTTCCTTTGTCTCCACCTACAGCTGCTATTAGAAGGAAGGTACAAAAACCTGTCACTCTCTTAAGCAGTGTCTGGCTTCAGCTCTGCAGCCAAAGGCATAAATCCCTCCCTGAGGACTCACAGGTAATCCTGCCTGCTCTGCCAGCCCATACATCCCTGCCCAACATCCTCCCCAAAGCTTCTCCTGCACACTGCACGACTTCTGCAAACCTCACAGGAAACTCCCAGAAACCGGCTCTTGCTCACAACACAAATCCCCGTGATTTTAAGCCTGGAGTGCTCTCCTAGGTTTACTCACCAGGGTACATCCCTCACCACTACCAATACAGTCCTGCCTCTCTTATGAAGAGCATCTCTAGTTGTTTCTGCTCCTCTCATGGACAGATGCACAGGCACATCTCTGCTTCTCCCTCTCACTTTGGTTGATGCCCTTCAGGATAGCTACAGTTTCATACTCCTATTGCATGTGGAGACCTCAGCTAGAGCACAGTTACTGTGATACAAATCCATATCCAGGATTTGACTGGAAGGCCCAGCCCCATTTTTGTGTGTTTGAATGTATCTCACCCAGTAAGTTCACTTTCCTTGTGGCCCAGATGTCACTTTTGACAGCAGTTTCTAACTGAAGCCTTCTGATCACTACACAGATCACAGCCAGGTGGCAATCTCAGCCCTTCCTACAATTTACCTTCAGTTAGAGATTCTGGTGAGAGATTGATGACATTTGCCAGGACAGGAAGGAGGAGCAGAGCACTCTGACCCTCGGGCAATCTTCCTTCAAGGACTTTTACAACCCGCTGCCCCACAGCAGCCACTTCACCCTTCTTATTTCCCTTAAAAATAAAGCAGAGGTAAAGCTGGGCAGACAATCTACCAGTGCTAGAACCCAACACCATGCAATCTCTTCCATCAGGCATCAGTACAAAAGTCAAACACAAAAAGGACTCACAGCACAGGCTATTTTAGCACATTTTACAGAGATTTTCTGCAATGTGAGTTCACAGATCCCAAATGATGGGGCTGCTTATGTGTGTTACTGAGTATATTTTTACACTGTGGAGCTGCAGGACAGTCTCAAGGCTGGATATTGGGCAAGAGGAGCTTTGGAAGGCAGCACATCAGCAATACTTTTGTGGTTTCTGTTTCATTTCCTCTAGCTAAGTAAGACTCAAATGAGTGTCAGAAACATAGGAGACATTTCTAAACATACAGTGAAACTCAGAATGAGAAGTTTCAGAAAAATATTTTATCTTTAACAGGCACAATAATAATAAAAGGAGTAGGGAAAAAAAAGGAAGTTTCCAGCTTAATCCCCAGGTAGCTCTGAAAACAGGAAAGTCCTCATTTTTTCTTCTCCTTGGAAAATCTGGATCTTTGCAGTGTCATTCACATTTACAGCTCTACATGTTTTATAGGTTCTGTGTATATTTTTTTATATTTGGACGTGAAAGCCAGTATCATAAAAAGGAGTAGTAAATTCACTCTAAAATCTTTTGCTCTCCAGGTTCAAGCAGCCCTGGTTTGAAATCTATTCCAGCAGCCAGCACTAAAGGGTTCCTTTTTGCTTCCAGGGCATCAGTTTTTAAATGTTACAATTTTAAGCAGTTTTTGTTATCAAATGCCAAACACAAAAAAAAAGCTGCCATTTTTCCCTATGCAAAGTAGAATAATGAGGTTCCTTAAATGAACATTGTAATGCTTTTGCTTTTTCCTATATACTTTCAAATGATTTTCACCCTCCTTGAGCTCAGGGAGGAGCTCGGGAACAGGGAACAATCAAAAAGCAAATCCATATTGACAAGGGAAGATTTGTGACTTGACAGGTCATTTACCTGAGCCAGAAGGACGGAGGATACCAGGCTCAAGAGCTTTGTATCCTGAATCTCATCACAGCGGAGGATCAGATCATTGCAAGGTGACATCTCTCTCAGGATGGCAGCACATAACACCTGAACCTGCTCAGGGCTTTTGGGCGAGCACAGCACTGTCTGCAACAGCTCCACAAACTTGCCATCCAGCCTGCAAGAGCCACAGCAAAGCATCACGGCCAGGCAAAAAAAAGATTCAGATGTTTATTTCCTGCGTATTCTTGGCTTGGGGATGATCCCCCTCGACAGTGACTGATGTCATCTTATCATCTCCACTTCTGAATGCTTTTCCTCTTGATGGAGAGCTCAGTGACACCAACACTTGTTACTCCCACTGCAAAAGCAGGCAGACACCTTGTGCTTAGCTTGGGGGGGAGGCAAAGAGGGGCTTAATGTTTATATCGAACTCAGGGTTTCCAAAAAACAGGGTGTTTTTTTTTAAAGCACTAACCCACCACCTTCCTTTTATTTGCTGTGGTTAAGAAAGCAACGCTTTGCTTCCCTGAGCACCAAGAGAGCCACAGAGCGCTCACTCACCTGCGGGGGTACTTGGTGGCGGCCACGGTGAGGTGCAGCCTCCGCAGCCCTTCCGCGGCCTCGGCGCCCGGCTCGGGGCCCTGCAGGAGGGCGGACACGCGGCCGGCGAACCTCCGCAGCTCCTCCTCATGGATCTCCCTGCCAGGGGAGGGGGGGGCAGCGGCTGTCAGGACCCCGGACCCGCAATTCCCGCCCCCATCACTCCCCCTACGCACCCACCCCGGGCCCGGCTGCTCCCTCAGCGCCGGGCGCGGCCGCTCCGCCAGAACCCCGGCCGGCCCCGAGGGGTCCCTGCCGCGGTCCCCCGGCCCCCCCGAGGGATCCCCAGCACACCTCGCCTGCCTGAGGAAACTCTCGGCGGCCGCCGAGAACATCCCGCACCCTCCGCACGGCCCCGCGCCCCGGTGCGCGCCCAAAGCGGCCCCCCATGACCGGCCGGTACGCCGGGGGCCGCCTCCGGGGGGACGCGGCGGCTGCTGCACGAAGGTTCCGCCCGGCGGCGCTGGGCCGCGTCCTGCCCGCACATAGGAGGGGTAATGCCAAAATTATCTCCATTGCAGATCGTGGACTACTTCGAGGTGCTGCTGCTGTTATTCTCCACCTCAGGAGTCAGAGGAGAGGCTTGGTTCCGAGGTCATCCTGCACGGCATGAAGGGGAACAGCTCTGGGGGCTCAGATCTATGGAAAACATCATCACATGGCAGAGAGATGCCAGAGATGGGTTTTCTAAGAGTGTGATAGTAAACGGTATCACATCAGCCTTTCTTGCAACCTGTTCACAAAACAGTGTTTTCCAAAACTGGCAGGAGATGTTAAAAATAGCTGCTCCAGCAGCTGCTCCAGTGGGTCTCCAGCACTTCCAAAAGGTTAAAAATCCATTAGTATTTCCCCATCGGTCTCGTCTCTCCTGACAGTGAACGAGGCAGAAGCTCTCACCACCATGCTGAGCATCCCCATGGGAGGAGGAGGAGGTGTCAGGGGAGGAAAGGCTGGCACTTTGCCCTTGGGTACTTCCCTGCCCTGCACCCTCCAGGCATTAGAGTTCATTAACAGCGTTCCTGGGCAATTAGCCAACAGAGCAGCAGCTCCCCTTTGCCCTGGGAAGACCAGCAGCATCCGTCACCTCAGCTGGAACAGTCAGAGCTGGAGTAGAGGAGAGCAAGCAGGAGCATTCAGTGTTTTCTATGCACCCTTTCTCCTGGCTGGGTCAGAAAATACACCCGATGCACATGGGGAACCAAAGACAGGACAATATTAGAAGATGCTCCTGAAAAACGGCTCTGCTGAACATCTTTGCTCACTGTGTACTATGTTATTATTTTTTACTTAGTTAGTCAATTAAAAAAAAAAAAAAATCCTTCCAGTGCCTAAAGAGTGAATACAAGAAAGATGGAGAGAAACTTTGTACATGGGGCAGGACAAGGGGGAACAGCTTCAAACTGAAAGAGGGCAGGGTTAGATAGGATATTGGGAAGAAATTCTTCCCTGTGAGGGTGGGGAGGCCCTGGCACAGGTTGCCCAGAGAAGCTGTGGCTGCCCCATCCCTGGAAGTGTCCAAGGCCAGGTTGGACAGGGCTTGGGGCAACCTGGCCTAGTGGGAGGTGTCCCTGCCCATGGCAGGGGGTGGGACTGGATAATTTTTAAGATCCCTTCCAACCCAAATCATACTGTGATTCTATGAATTACAGCTACTTTATGTCAACTGAGGTCTTAAAAGATACTCCTATTTAACTTTGGAGCTCAGAATGTTTAGTGAAAATAAACCCAGAACTTAAATTGTAGCTGCATTAGGAGGACAAGGAAGGAAAACCCCAACTATAAGGTAGATGTTTTCTGACCTCATATGCTTCAATGAAACCATTATTATGAGTTACAGGGGAATACACTGAAATAGTTTCTTTCAAAATAACAATGTTTCACTTCACGACAAAAGCTGGAGCTGGAGGAATAGTTTATAACTCCCAGGGGAAACATTACAGATCTCAAACACACGTACATTATGTTCACTCTGCTGCGAGTCAACAGCTGCCCAAATAACTGCCAAGGGATCAAAAGTCTGTGAACTCTGGAACAGTGGAAGGTGTGCAGATAAATACTTACTTCCTACATAAAATAAAAGGAAAAAATATCAAACACACTGTCCCCTTACACTGTGAGAACAACCCAAACTGCTGCAGGAAACTCAAACCTCACTATGATACTACACTGGAAAGATTCAGGTCTGTCACCCCAAAGCAGCAAAGCAATTTCAGGGCATTTTCTCTTTCATATATAATTTTATTTCTGGTTATAGAAACAAATGCTAAGAGGAGAAGCAACATTCCCCAACCACATACATCAAATTAAGGTAACAGAACAGTTAAAATAAATGAAAAAAAAAAAAAGTAGAAATTTAAAACTTTGTTATAGCTTTAAAATATTAACGTTCTCGATACATTAGAAATCACATTCAGATCTCAAATTACTTAAAAAAATGTATGGCTCCATATTAAAAAAAAAAAAAACAAACAAGCAAACAAAACCACTGTATCCCATTTGATGTGGAAATGCAGGTCCTGCTCCTTGGATGCAGGATCCCACCCTCGTGGGAGCCACGGTCTGGCTGTGCAGTTGAGCATCTCACAGGAGCAGTGCTGCAACACAGCCAGAGAAAGAAGGGGAACTTCACATCCATTGCCCCAGCTGGAGCTTCCCCCTTGGGATACACACCTGCTTTGTAAAAAGCACTGATAACGAAAACAAGTCACAAAAAATACTTTTGATATCAGCTGTAGAAAAAAACCCCCACAAACCCCAGAACATCTGGCTGGAGGTGTCTTGCACAGGTAACACCAGGAACTGAAATGCAAGCATGGCTTTAGTTGCCCCTTCCATCACCATTTTTAAAATAAGTGCCAAACCGAGGTGAAAGGGGTAAGGCTGGCCCAGGTCTCTGTAGCAAACCCTTCTGTCAAGCCATTGAGGTATTTCAGGTTCTCCTCTCAGCCTTCCCCTGGGGACTCGGTGGGAATGTGCATCTGCAGAACAGGGGGAGAGTCAGATTTTTCTGGATTTGTTTTTTAGAGCAATTATTCAGAGTTGGATCTGAATTTCCAGCTTTACCACCCATGGCTCACGCACAGCTTTTGATTTATTCCTAAACAGCTTTTAACAGTCCTTTGGATAACAGTCCTTTGGATAGCTACAGACTCTTAAAATGCTCTTTTTGGCTATGTGGAGGTTGGCTGGCAGGCTGGACAAGGTATGTCCAGAACACAAGACAATATATGGTCTTGTAAGATTTTTGTATTTTAAAGCCATTTTCTGTATCAGTACATTTCAATGAGCCTTTCTTTTTTCTTTACATTCTGTCTTCTATTAAAGCAAAAAGATTTTAAAAACAATAGTCTGGTTCCCTCTACTTCAAACCCATTTGAGGGAGAAAAAACCAGGAGAGATTAAGCAAGTTTAGGTTTACAGTAATTCAACTGCTACAGAGCCAACCTGCCTACTTAGCAGCCTGCCCACCTCCCAAGAGCAGCATATAAATCAGCAGAACATCAGGATGTTCTGCACCAGACTTTTAGCAGCAAGACAGTGAAACAGAAGGAAATCTCGCTTTTTCTGCTCCATTTAAATCTCATTTTTCTTCAGCTAACAGACATTTCTCCTCACTGTTGCCCTTAGCTTTAAGGAAGGCTTTGTCTCAGACTGCTTGAAGTCAAACTGAGGCGGGGTAGAAGCAGGACAGAGAGGTGGAGATCACAGCAAAGGGGCATCACTTAACTTGGCAGCAGACACAAGGAATAACCAAATATCAGGGGAAATCTGGTTTTCACAAGGGCTGTTTTCTGCTGAGAAGGAAAGCTGCCTCCTTTCACTGCTCCCATTCCTGTTACTCATCCTACCACCAGCCATGTTCTCCCTTAAGTACTGAAGCCCCATGACCAGCCAGTGATCACCGAGGTGAAGCCTTAACTCAGGTCCTCACCGAGAAAGGAACTTCTGCAACAGCAATTAGGAATTAGGAAGCCAACTATCACCTGCTTTTAAGAATAATTCCCAAAAGATCCAAGTGGGTCAAGATACACCCTTCTGTGAATTTAGTGATCCTTGTGGAATGAAATTTGGCCAGTTTGGTAAAATGTACTCCCTGTGAATGGGAACATTAGAAAAACTCTTCGGTGTTTGTTTTTAAGGGGATATACACACACCTCACCTCACAAAGAGACAGAAGCACGATAAAAGGAAAATAATCTCACCACAGAGGAAAAGAAACTATTTCATAGTGCCCCAGTGCTAGCTCAGCCACCTGGCAGGGAGGAATTCCTCAGCCTTACAGTATCCTCATGGACCTGCCATAAATTTCCTCTGTTAGAAATAAGGTCCCATTACTTACAGAGCAGAATCTGTAAAGAACTCCCCAACACCACAACTACAGATAATTGGAGACAAGAAAGGATTCCAGCTTTCATTAGTGCCATCTGGGGGATTTTCTTGCCAGAAAAGCAGCACGGACTGGGATGGCTGAAAGCACAACAAAGCCAGAAGCAGGGCTCCTACACAAGGAAAATGCAAGTACCAAGTTGTCTCTTCTGCTCTGCAAGAGGAATGAAAGCAATCACTGAAGTAAAGCTGCTTCCACTGGCTGCTCACATTAGTTACAAAAACAGGTACGTTGTTCTTCTAGAATCAGTGCCTGGTGCAGGAATTTACCAACATACTGTATAAAAGTCTGTGTAAGTACCATTTAAGAGAAAGAAATAGTCATGGACCATTTATATATCTATACTGACACACACTCACACACCCACCCACCCACCCACCCACATTAATAAATATAAATTTTATGTTTACACAGATCTAATTTAATATCCTCTGAAAAAAAATATTTAAAGGGTTTCTTCCTTAGCTGCCACCCATGAATTGTCAATGTTTTTTTTTTTCTATCTTGAGAGCAAAGGGGTAGATTTGGCACAACTACCCTCAGGCTCTGAAACTTAAAGTGACACGTAAGGAGAGGACCAGCCATACATTCTGAAAGGTTTTAATTCAGTGTTGGTAAATTGAAAAGGTATCAAAAGAATTTTCTGAACATATAAATACAAAGGTCAAAAGTTGATTAAAAATTTGGAATTTAAATATAGTGCTCCAAGAAAACCAAGTATTTTTCCAAATGTCTTGCTCGGGCCAAAGTACAATGCTCCCTGGTGTATTACTGCCCCATGAAAGACACCCTAACAGGGAAAGCCCACCCTCACAGCCAGCTAATTCCCATTGCTGATTACTGTATGTGCATATATCCCCACCTGTGTGCACAAACACATGCACTGCCCTGCGAGTAACACACCCAGCAGAGAGAGATGCTGATCCCACTAATCACAGCCACACAGCTCCGGGCAGCCGCCCACAGAGATGCTCCAGCTCTGTTTTGGTCAGGTGCAGATCAAAATGCAAGAAG